TTATTTTTATAATTTGTGCAGGGCCTTCGGAAAGTGGGCGAAGGACTTTTCCTTCCCCACGTGCTGGCTCTCATCCCTGCTGGCTGAGTAAGCTGATAGCACCGTGGTTTCTTCCTCAGGGAAACTCCCTCCGGATCTCACTCTTGGGTCTTTGGCGGCTATCTCTAGCAGGACACACCCCTCCGATGAAACGGTGAACGGTCTGAGGGCAGCAAAAGGACCAGTGCTTCTTTGGAGTTTCTTAAAATGCCTGGTATAGTCCTGAGGTTGCGGGAGACAGGCGCTAACACAACTATGTCGGACTCAACGGAATGTCTACAGAAGCGAGGGTCCCTGTGGCCTCTGGGTGAGGGTGTGGGGGGAGACGCCTAACATGACCAAGACAGAGAATTAACATTTGAACTACCCAGTAAGTGGGGGAAAAAAAACAGGGTTAGGAGTCTTCTCTACATTTATTCTCTCAACGTCCACCAGGTAGATGCTGTCATTCCCACTTTCCAAAAGAGGAAACTAAAGTTCCCGGAGAAGTCATCAGCTCAAGGTTCCCAAGTTAGAGGAGGGGCAAAGAGGGGAAAAGCCACAGTCATGTGACTTCCATTAAATGCCCCCCTCCACCTCTTTACCTACTCTTGTTCCGCAGCTTAAGATTCAAATAGATTTCTGCTATAGCCAATGAATATATATATATATAGCCAATGAATAAATTAATACATAATTCAAGACAAATTATGATTTGTTATTTTAATGGAGGCCCTAAGTATTATGGACATGCCTAGAAGCTGGTCATAGCAACTCAAGGTAAAGTGGCAAAGGACCGATATGCCCAGTAAATGGGTGGTTGGAATAGAAAATCAGAGAATCGATTACAAAGGAAGGAGAGGTGTCTAGACTCTCACCTGCCTTCTAAGGCAGGGATCTCCCGTTCAACCACCAGCTCAGCCTGAATGCCTTACCATGGTGAGCTTAGTAGATCACAAGGCACTCCATCCTCCTATGGATGCTTCTCGTTCTTAGAAAGGTTTTCTTTATTTTGGCCCTGAAACCACTGCCCTGGAAATGCTTAGTCTAAGCTTTACCCTCAATGGATTAACCAAATAATTGGTTGGTTGACTGAAGGTCTGTAATCCCTGGAGAGCCCTGTGCATTCCAGATCATCAGTATTTCCATTTCCTCCTTAGGCCACTGCAGAAGGAGGGAGGTGCCTGTCTAGATAGGAGGAAATGGACTATGGTAGAAACACTGGGGGGTGGGGGCAGGATGAAGGAATATCTACATCTCATTTTGGCAGCCTATGGTGTAAAGCACTAGAGAAATGCAAAACATGGAGACAAAATGAGGATAAGACGAAATTTTTGCAAGCACTTAACCCAAACCATTTCTGAGGTTCCCTGAAGAGAGATAACTTGATTCTTTCGGTTCATTTCCATTTTTGTTCTGTCTCAGGGACTTCTTGAATTCCAGCCGGGCTGAGAAGGTGCATGGCCAAAATGTCCAAAGAATGTCTTTTATGAGAGGGTGGTCAGCCCAGTTTGCACATCCGGAGGTTCTGATGGCTCTGATAACATCTGGATAGGAGGAGACTCAAGGCTTGGGGTGGAATGGCGTAGCCCTAACCAAATTTGGGGACCTTGTTGGAGGAGAATGGACACATGAGAGACAGGAAATTATTAGAAGCAAAGGGCTTTCACAAAATTGAAACTCAGGCTTTCAGCAATTCTCTAGACTCATGAAGCATGATGAGTGTGGCTCGGTGGCCATCCCAGCGAGAACCTGCCAGCTTCTTCTGATGGGGCTGCTCCTCTTGATAGAATCCTTACACCTCACAAGCCCAGGGTTTGGTTCTTCGGCTCCCTGGTTTCTCCCAAAGGCTCCAGTGCAGAGGTAGGCACCTATCCTACAAACACCTGCCTTTACCATGTTTATAGTATCGGGGGGAGGGGGAGACAGAGCATGGACAAAGCTGGCTTGTAAAGAGGAATGAACAACTGTGGTCACTTCATCCCTCCCCCAAGTTAATGGAGTGTCCCAGTGAACGACCACTGGGGGACCTCACAACAGCCCACCTCGAAGGGAGTGAGAACAGCCTGAATTCAGAGGTGTGGGCAGCGCCCAGGTATCTGCTAGAGGAGAATCCAAGTGCCTCAGGGCATTCTGCACAGTGACACCAAAGATAGGATCTGCCCAGCCACGTTTCTTCCTGCTTGTTTCCCAGTGCGGTTTTCCAGGTGTCCACTGACTTCTGACTTTTGGAGGTGGCATATTCCCAATCTCACTGGCAGCTTCTGCAAGATCCTAATCTTAGATTCTTCACTTCTGGGCTGTGTGGCTCTGGGGAAGCCACTTGGCGGGATTGGCTGCAGAGTGAGGGAGTGTCCAATGCAGTGGCTGGTGCACCTCCATGACCCTGCGCCACCCTCCACTCTCCCCAAGACCCAGGCTCCTGCATGGGAATTTCATGTGTGTGTGTGCATGCACGTGCATGCATGTGTGGAAGAGAGACAGAAAAAGAGAAGAAGAGGAAAGAGGAGAAAGTTAATTGCACTGGGGGAAGGCGAGGGGCACGTGATGCATCTAAGAACCTCCCAGCTCCTTCTCTCAAGCCATCAACCTCTTCACTGGAAGCCCTGACTGGGTGAAAATTAACCAGCAGCCTCCTCTAATCAGCGCACACGGTAACAATGAAGGCCACGGTTATACATCCCCCTCCTCTTCTCTGTTGTCAGAAGGGAGCCACCCTTACCCTCCAGGGAACACCTTGCCCAGAATCACGCAGGCTCCGTGTCTGTGCGCGCATGCACGGGCGTGCGTGTGTATGGTGGGGGCAGTGTGTGAGTGACTTCTAGGCATTTGCTTTCAGTGGGGGAATTCAGGAGACTTTTGTTCTGCCGCCCTCCAGGCTGCCTGCCTGGCCCTGCACCCGGCCAGCAACACATCCCCTCCCCTGACCCCCCGTATTCTCCAGTGAGCTGATCTCATTATGGGAAATTTAGTTACAGCTGAAGTCTCCTTGTAACAAAGATTATGTCCAAGCCCAGAGTAATGGAACCTAGTCGATTTCATTAAAATAAAATTGGTTACAATGAATAATTCAATAGGATGATTTTGTTTCCTCATCTCCTCTCTGTAGATCGAAGAGCTAGTATTTATAATGATTTTTTTGAAATTGGATTTTTGTTTAGGAAGAGATAATCACCCATAATTCCTGACAGCCCCTCCTTAAAAGGCTGGGATAATTGCCCCGTGAAGTCTCCTTTCAAATGCTAAGGCTGGACAATTCCGTCTCTTTTTTCTTACTTTAGCAGCCATAACACTTTGGGTGGTTTTGAAACACAGCTGCTGCCTCAGCTCTTGGTCATATGAGATTCCGAGTGTGTTAATTCCCTTGTTTGAATGATGTTTTTTAAACATTTCTAGAACCCGTTGCCAGTGTTGAATTGGGAATTCCTGGCTCTATTGCTGGCCAGCCCTGCTGTTCCCGAGCAATGCCACAGAGAGGTGATGCCGGAGTATCTTCTCTTGGCGGTGCTCATTTGCATGCAGCAGTGTGTGTGTGTGTGTGTGTGTGTGCGCACGCGCGCGTGTGTGTACGTGTGTGTGCATGTGTGCACGCACAAGTGCGTGTGTGCACGTGCATGTATCATCTACAGTCAATTAAACACATGTTTCCGGAGCACCTAGTCTTATCTAGGCCTGTGCTTGAAGATGAGAGGACAGAAGTGAATGTAACTCAAAGCTGTTCTCCAAGAATGAGCAGCCTAGGGGGAGCAAGACATGCACCTGGGTAATTCGGGTTCAAGGTGACAGGTGCAACCAAAGAAAAATTCAGCAAGTACACAGGTGGCATGGGGAGGATGAACCCTAGACATCCACTTACTCACTCATTCATTCATTTCTTGATTCATTCATTCACCAGGCTGGCACTATGCAAGACTCCCTTCCACCTGACTTCGGGCAGTCAGAAACAAATGCAAACGCATAAATAATCTAATGCATGTAAACACAAGCAAACAGACAAATGAAAAAATGGCCAAATAAACACTGCGACTTATAAATGAAGTGGACCTATCTTGTACCTTGTCCAGGGATTTTCAATGGGCCCCAGAGGAAGGTCACATCTCTCTTTCATCTAGACATCAGGCTGAACCCCCCCACCCCGAGTCAGGGAAGCAATGTGAGAGACGAATGGCTGGGAATAATGACTCATCTGCAAGGCCAGGAGCAGGCTGGCCTCTGAAGATGGCCACCGGGCCAGGCGGTTGGAAGCACTGAGTCGTGTCTCTGGGAAATGGGAGTCTCGGAAGAAGGCAGGTGCTTGCTCAGCAGGATAATTGGAAAGGGGGCTCTGGGGACAGCACGGCCATCCCTAGAATCACACAAGCATTGGTGGCCCCAATCTCTTGTTCCCTCAACTAAACTGGCAGTCCCCTCGGGCAAGAATCCTGGAACATAAATAGTGCATTAGGGGCCTGAGGAGTGAGTCACAGCTTTTTAAAGTGGGGAGGTCCTTGGAGATCATCAAGCTCAACTACCTTCTAATTTAAGGATGGGGTGAAATGGGGCCCAGAGAAGTGGGGAGACTAGTCCAAGGTCACACAGCAAATTCATGATAGAGTTAATTCACAGGTGAGTGCTCAAAGAGCACACAACTTGGCACCCCCCCCTCCAAACAAGAAAAGCAGGACTCCCCCAAAAGAATTTAGTTTTAACCCATTGAATTCCAGCGGCATATCCAAAATGGAATTCCTTCACCAAATATGAATTATAACAGGCAGAGAAACAGGAGGACAGGCTTTACCCTACTATGCTGATGTCCCCTGCACTTAATCATCCCATAGTCTCATCCCTGACAAATGGTACTCGTGAGGCCCTAGGATTACATTTGGTTAGAGATATGGTCAGGGGGCCACAACCAGTGACATTACATTTGAGGAGGGCAACCCAGAGGGGTAGAGCAGATGCAGAATGTCTGTAGGAAATGCCACACGTGGCTGGGAGCTTACCTGGGAGGCTGCTGGCTGGCCGATGATGACCCAGCCTGGGCACTGCTGGTCCTGATGTGATACTGAAGCATTGGATGCCCACTGATCCAGGAACCCCTGGGGCGTGTAGACTCCACAGTCCTTGATGCTAGTTTTTTGTTCAAACTCCTCACATACACCATCACCATCATGGAAATAGCACCGGCTGGGTTCATCTGCAGGAGATGGACAAAGAAGGGAGAGAACAGATAGATATTTGTTCTGTGGTCTCAGCTGAAATCCACAGTGGTGGGATCAGATGAGCAGAATCATCAGCACTGTAAAGCCCATCATCAGTAGTCACAAGGGATTATTATTCACCCTTAAAAAAGGAGATCCGGCCATTTGTGACAACATGATGAACCTGCAGGACACGATACTAAGTGAAAAAAGCCAGACACAGAAGGTCCACTAGTGGATGATTCCACTTGAATGAGGAATATAAGGTAGTGAAACTCATAGGAGGAGAGACTAGAAGGGTGGTTACCAGGGGCTGGGGGGGGGAGGGGGAAATGGTTGAGAGTTACTGTTCAGTGGGTATACCGTTGCAGTTATACAAGAGGATGTAAAACATCGCACTTACAGCTAACATTGTGTTTATGGTTGTATTAAGTGTATGCATACTTGCAAATTTAGAGCGTAGATCTTGTGCTATATATGTTTGACCACACACAGATTCACCAACACTTCATTATACCCCAAGTGAGCCCCACGGCCACCTTGTGAGGAAGGCATTATTATTTTAATTATTTCAGTCCTCCAGATTAGGACACCAAGATCCCATGTGTCTCTAATAACGTGCTCAAAGTTGGGGTGCCTGGGTGGCTCAGTCGGTTAAGCATCGGCCTTCAGCTCAGGTCATGATCCCGGAGTCCTGGGGATTAAGCCCTGCATCGGGCTCCCTGCTCAGCGGGAAGCCTGCTTCTCCCTCTCCCTCTGCCTCTCCCCCCACTCATGTGTACGCACTCTTTCTCTCTCAAATAAATAAATAAACTCTTTAAAAACAATAACACCCAAAGTCACACAGTGTGTTCATGCCAGATCCTGGTTTCAAATTCAGGCTTTCACTTTCCAAGTTCTGGGTACATTATCCGATACCACAGAACTTCACAGTGGCAAACAGGTTTACTGAGCTCCGAAGAGAGTCCCAGTGTCACGTAAGGAAGGAACGGATACATCGGAGGCACTGGCTTCAGTCCCCACTCTGTAACTCAACTGCTCTGTTACTTAAGACAAATCCCTTTCCCCCTCTGGGCTCAATCAGATAAGAGGGTCTGCGTGCCGGGCCTCTAGGAGCAGCCCTTCCTGTCTACTGGCCTAGGCTCCTCAGGACTTGGTGGTTAAAGTGAAAGGCCAAGTGAGTTCTCAGGCTCCCACGTAGTTCAAATCACAGCAGTGATTTCTGCTTGGCACAACTTAAAGCTGCAGCTGGCTGCAGTGATTCTCGGGGGCCAGGACACAGACCACGGAAGTGTGGAGTTGGCAGGTGCCTTCCAAGGAGGTAGGACCCATGCGCGTGGTTCCACACCGAACAACACAAGGAAAAATCAGAATGTAGCCATCTGAAAGAGATCCCCCTGCCCATCCTTCAATAACTCAAATGTCAGGTCATCTGTGCTCTTTTCCCAATACTTCCAGAGCAAAACTAAATACCCCTGCCTGTGTGGGTTCCTATTTTATGAAGGTTCCTACCCTAACACTTAACTGCGTCATCCTACCTGCATGCTGCAGTTCCCCTGGAAGACTGAGCTTCTTGAAATCTGGTCCCTACTATGCGGTGTCTTCGGGTGCACTTAAAATCATCATCCAAACTAGTGATCGAGATGCTATTAAAAACTATGTCCAGGCAATAGACACATTTCCTGGGAAAATCTGAACATCCCAGGCATGTTGGAACATAAGGTCATCCTAAGAATGCTGGTTGGTCTAGTACATCCTTCCCCTCTTTACTCCAAAACAAAAGAGTGGAGCCCCGTTTCCAATCAGGAATTGACTTCTGTCCCTCAGATTCGCTATATAACTTTGCACAATTAGCTTCACCTTTTAGCCTCTGGCTTTCCATCTGTAATACAGAAACAATGGTCCTAAACACCGTAATAATGTTGTATGGTGACAGATGGTGACTGTACTTATCACGGTGAGCACTGAGTGATGTACAGAACTGTTGACTCAATATATTGCACACCTGAAACTAAAATAACATTGTATGGGGGCACCTGGGTGGCTCAGTCATTAAGCATCTGCCTTCGGCTCAGGTCATGATCCCAGGGTCCTGGGATCGAGCCCCGCATCGGGCTCCCTACTCAGCGGGAAGCCTGCTTCTCCCTCTCCCACTCCCCCTGCTTGTGTTCCCTCTCTCGCTGTGTCTCTCTCTGTCAAATAAATAAAATCTTAAAAAAAATAAAATAACATTGTATATTAATTATACTTCAACAAAAAGAAAAGAAAGGAATGACTGTCCCAGCCAGGACAACCTCTCAGGATACCCACAAAACTCTCATAGGACATGGACATAAACCTGCTTTGTACATTCTAGAATAACAGTCAAGAGAAAAAAAAATTCTTCTTCTAAGGGGTCAATTTATTTCTAGCTGGTTGGATGGAATCACCTTGTGAAATCAGTACTCACTTAAAACACTCTGTGCAGCATCCCTTCCCCACCAAACAAAAAGAGCCAGGGTCAAGTAGAATTAAAACTTGGATTTCTAGGATGCTGACTATCTGAAAAAGGAGTCTGTGAATTCAGGGGCAGCAGAATGTTGAGCCCCTTCCAAGCTCCTAAAATCCCTTGTTTATTTCAGCAAACAGTTTACATAGTGAAATACTATCAAAAGAGCCAGAATAAATCAATTCATTATAATTCAATTATTTAAGGATGAGTCTGAGCCAGCTGAGGACTCTAGTGACCAGTACCATGCCTGGCAGCTCAAGGATGGAGAGAAGACAGACTCAGCATTTCTCAGTAGCTCCAACCTCTTGGTGAACGGGGCCAACTTAATATATATAAAATGTAGACCCAATCCGAGAGTGACCAGCCATTAATCCAGACTTCACTCTTTCAAAATGCAGTCAAGGGAATTGCAAAAAGCACAGGTTTCAGCATCAGACAAAGCCAGGTTCAGATCCTAGCTCTGTCATATATAGGCTTATAGGACTTAAATAAACTAACCTAACCTCTCTGAACTTTATTTTCTCATCCAAGAAAAGAAAAGGAGGAAATAATATATTTACCCTGTGTTGTTGCACTTATTTCACGAGATGATGTGTACAATGCCAACAACTTCACCCATTTTAGCTAAGGGGAGACTGAGAGCCAGAGGCGGTAAGGAGTCTGCTTCCAGATTACAGAGGGAGATGGTGGCAAAGCTAGAAGGAGGAGCCTGGGCTTTTTATACCGTGGAGGGTAATGCCCCTCTGCCCCCATGCTCTAGCTACAGAGTGATGAAACCACATCCTCTTGAGGACAAGATCGCTTGACTGCTGGTACCACATTCTCCCCCTCCAAAATAAAGACAGGGAGGGTAAGATTATAATAAGATCACAGAAGATCTATTCTCTAAGATGACTTAATTCATATTCTCAGCAAAGACACCTCAGAATGGCAGGAATTGAGGCTAAAGCGGAGTTCTCATGAGGGCTAACTTCTCCCTGATTATGTTTAAGACCTCCATATTTCTGTCTGCTGGGACTCAGCAGAACCAGGGAATGAAGGAGAGGTGGGGGTAGGCATAGCAGGTAAATAAGTGGGAAGGTAGTTCAGTATGGTAGATAGATAGATAGATAGATAGATAGATAGATAGGCAGGCAGAGACAGAGTTAAAAGAGAGACAGGAGGTGGTGGAGGGAGGGGGGGGAGAGAGAATAAATATGCCTGGTTTCTCCTCCAAGATTCTGCTGACATAGCTACCATGAGCCACTTTTTGAAATAACATCCTTGGACTCTGCTATTCATTTTCTCTTGCTACTGGAGTCCCGGGGGCCCTTCAGCTACATCTGCCAGTCTTCATCTGGGGAATTTTCTCTCCCTCTCTACTCCCAGGCCCCAAGCACTGTAGAGAACAGAGTGAGGAATGGAATAAAAATGTGTGGCTAGGAAAAACAAAGACGGCAACAATACAATAAAACAAAACTGGCCTTCCCGTTTTCATTGCATCCACTTACTTGGTGCTATTTGAACACTTTATGCTGGTAGCTGAGCAGGTTATAGTGAAAAGAGTTTAAAGTCAATACCAAGGTCAAATGACTACCCTGGCACCTGCCTTCCCTGTAGTAGCTAGGTGGCATTGATCATCATATAACCCCTTGGAGCACTCAACAAATAATTCTTGAATGAATGAATGACTAAAATCCAGCACTCCCAATGCACGTACTCCTGTCCAAATATAGTTCACACTCTGCACCCTTTGAGAAGTTTCTTTAGACAGGGTCTTAGGGTGGAGGGAAAGGAGCTGAGATGCCATTGGTGACTGGCTTACAGTGGGCTTGCACTGGGCAGTATGATTTCCTCACCTCACCCCTTCTTCCCCTGACATAAGAGAACTCCTTGTCTCAGACTCAGTTCCTCTTGTGCAGTAACACATTTAGAAACTGCTCTATCCAGCTAAAAGACTTGATGTGGGGCGCAGGCATTGCCAAGTCTGTCATCCCCAGCTGAACATTCCTGTGCTACTTTCTTTTCCTTCTGGAAGAAATGCGCTCAGCTCCAGGAGCCTGAGGCAGATGGACTCTCTGTAAGTGGACAGACATAGATGATGCCGCTTCTCATTGACTTAATTTTCACTTTCCATCTGTCTGGAGCATCAGGATGAAATGCCATGCCTTTGCATTCCTGAGGCTTGTCTGAAGGACACTGTTTGAGATGCTCAGAGATTATTGCCCTTTCTGGAGAGCTTGGAACCCAAGTCTTAGGAGAATGAGATGAGTTTACCTTGGCATGTAAGCAAAGGCTGGGGCTTAGGCTTTTGTCAAGAATTCTTATCCTTAAAGTCAGAAACCCTGGATTCAAGCCTCTAATCTGTCCATGATCATCAGGTAATCTTGAATCTATTTACTTATAGTGGAACTACACCAACCCAACTGGGGGACACTAATGAACTTAGCTTGATTAGAAAATTGTGAATTTGCAACACCACTAGAATCCTTGAGGTGAATGGATAAAAGAAAGAGCTAGAGAGTT